TCTGACCTTCTCCCTCTTCCCCTCTCTTCCCCCACCACTCCGTCTTGCTGATTCACTTGGACAGGCCAGCGCCTACTGTGCGGTCAAGGTCGTACGAGCTGTACAGAAATATCGCAATGCTGCCCAGACAGAGGTCAGAACTTCAACCTTCAAACTTCCTTTCTCCAAACTTCTCTCTACCGCAAACTTTCTCCTCAAGCTCCCTCCAGATCTCTCTCCTGCAGCAGCTCAGGGGTCAGCACGGGTGCGTGCGGCTGCTGCGGCACTTCGACTATCAGGGCCACATGTATGTCGAGCTTGTTCTGCTTCCTGTCTTGACACCCCCGGGCCAGATGTCTGGCGTTTGAACTCCTTGGACCGAATGTTTACGAGATCATGCGTAGGCCCCCTCCTCCCTCCTCGCTTCTGCCTGCACCCACTCTCTCTCCTCCTCTTCTCCTCTTCTCTCCTCTCCTCTCCTCTCCTCTCCTCTCAACATCTTCTCCTCTCCTGATGCCTCCTCCTGCTGTCTCCCATCCTCCCTTCTCCATCTTTCTATGTCTTGTCTCGCTTAACAACTCTGTCTCGCTTAACAACTCTCCCTCTCTGCAGGCGCCATGAATTTTCGTCCCTTCAACTGCCATGAGATCAAGTTGATCGCTCGGCAGGTGATTCTCACTCTCCACCTCTACAATCCAATCATATTTCTCTTCGCCTTTCCCATCCTCCTCCCTCCCTCCCTCCCTCCCTCCTCCCTCCTCCCTCCTCCCTCCTCCCTCCTCCCTCCCTCCCTCCCTCCTCCCTCCTCCCTCCTCCCTCCTCCCTCCTCCCCCTATTCTCCATATCTTGTGTCTCCTCCCTCCTTCATCAACGTGCTCCTTGTCTCTCCTTCGCTCTCCTTCCTCCCTCCTAGCGCTTCATATGCTCCCTTCTTCCTCCTGTTCTTCCTGATCCTCCACCAGGTCCTCGAGTCTCTTTGCCTCGTTCACGGTCTCGGCATCATTCACACAGACGTGAAGCCGGAGAACATCCTCCTCCTCGAGCAGCTGCACAAGAAAGGTCTCCTTGCTCGCCAGGGCTTTCAGCTCCCCGAGCATCAGCTTCGCGTCAAGCTGGTTGACTTCGGCTCTGCGATCCACGAGTGAGAAAGAGGATGACGAGGGCGGGGGAGCAGGAGCACAAGGACCGGGGGGGAGCAGGGGAGCAGGGAGAGAGATGTGTCCTGACCTGCTTTTACAGCTCGTGGCATCATCCTTCCATCATCAGCACTCGCCACTACCGCGCTCCTGAAGTCCTCTTGTATGCTCTCGACCTCCTTTTTCTCCTCCTCCCCTCCCTCCCTCCCCTGCTTCTCCTCCTCCCCTCTTTCTCCCGCATTGTTTCCACTAGATTCTTCGCGTGCCCCCCTCTAAACTTGTACCTTCCTTACCCCACCCCTCCTCGTGACCTGCTTCCTCGCAGGAATCTGGGGTGGAGCTTCCCCTGCGACTTGTGGTCTCTAGGCTGCATCATCTACGAGCTTTACACCGGAGCTGTGCTCTTCTCCTTCGTCGACAAGCACGAGCATCTCCTCGCCGTCGAGAAAGTGCTCGGCAGGATCCCGTGAGCTTCTCCCTCCTGACTCCCGTCCTCTCCCTCCTCCTTTCCCTCCCCTTTTCCGCACTCCTCTCGCTCTGCCCCTCCGCTCTGTCCCGCTTCCCTCGTTTCACTTCCTTCCCTCACCTTGTCACAGCCCGGCGATGCTGCATGCCTCGGCCAAGGGAGGGGTCGAGGAAGGCATCGTCGCTCACGAGGTCGACCCCTCCAACAGGACGTTTGTCCGCCTCCTCCCTCTCGACCCCACGAACCGCATGGCAGCCTGCGCGCTTGCACGTCTGCGACGAATCGAGGAGACGATCAAGGAGGTTAGCCCGTCGATCCCTCCGAATCCCCTCCATCCCCCCTCCCCCCTCCCCCAATCTTCATGGCCCATCTCCCTCCTTCATCGTGCTCCTCCTTTCACTGCTCCTCTTTCATCTCCTCCGCCTATCCCTGCTCCCTTTGCTGCTGCTGCTGCTGCTGCTGCTGCAGCAGCAGCAGCAGCTCCCTCTGCTCCTGCTCCTGCACAATCTACTACTGACTGGGAGGGTGTAGGAGGACTTGCTGTCCCTCGTCAAGCAGCTCCTCGAGATCGACCCCTCCAGGAGGCTCACAGCAGCGCAGGCCCTTCATCATCCCTTCTTCGCCTCCTGACGTTCATTGTAAATACGACGAGCAGCCGCGGCTTCTCCTCCTCTAGCGTTCAAATTTAAGTGTCTCCTCCTGTCTTCTCTAGCCTACACAAGGTCGCTCATGGCGTCGATGGTGGCGCTGCGAGGCCTCGCAGCAGCATAGAGGTCCTGCGATGGAGTGAGGACGAGCGAAAGAAGGAGAGACGGAGGGAGAGTGAAGATATCAAAGGAGGAGGAGGAGGAGGAGGAGGAGGAGGAAAGAAGCAGCAGTGCTCTAGGACGAGAAACAACTTGTTCCTCACCCTGCTGATGTCCTTGGCGGGAACTTTCTCGTCCATCTCACGACCGAAAGTCTGCACCGGTATCACACGCCCCTCGCTTTCTTCCTTGTCCTCCCAACCCCTCCTTCTGGTCAGTTTCTCACCTCATCGCCCAGCTTCTGCTTCCTGTTCAGCTTCGACCCCCGGAATCTCAGCTGCTGTGGACGCACACCCTTGGAGGCGATGCCTGCTTCCTGCATGGGCGCGAGCTCGCCGTGGTAGGGACCGTCGTTGGCCCATCCCGTCTCGTAAGCGACGTAGCCGTCAAGGGGGATGCCGGTGGAGCCGCCGGGATAGTCACCATCGGGAGGAAGAAACTTTTGAGGGGAGCCCACCCACTTCTGCTGGAACCTCGCGAACTTGTTGGCGAAGTTCATCTGCTTGCCGTGTACGCCGCTCCGGCTGCATCAAGATCGTCAGCCGGTTGAAGCTGCCAAGCATGCAGGCGCCTCACAGGATCTGAGGGCTGAAGGTCTTGGAGGCGATGCCTGCTTCCTGCATGGGCGCGAGCTCGCCGTGGTAGGGACCGTCGTTGGCCCATCCCGTCTCGTAAGCGACGTAGCCGTCAAGGGGGATGCCGGTGGAGCCGCCGGGATAGTCACCATCGGGAGGAAGAAACTTTTGAGGGGAGCCCACCCACTTCTGCTGGAAGCGCCTGAGACAAACGGTACGCGTGAGCGGGACCAGAGGCAGTAGACTCGGAAGGCGAGAGAACAAAACTAGAGCGAGGCAAAGTACGGCCAGGCAAGGAGATAGAAGATGAAGCGCGGAACAACGAGGAGCAGCAAACGCACCTTGGTCTCCCGCTCATGTAGAGCGACGATGGCCTGCTCTTGATGGCTCCTGGTTGCTGGAAGGGCCATGGCTCGAACTAGCAGCACACAGTCACAGCATGCCACATAATGCACAGCATCTACAGGATCAGGCAAGGAAGGCATCTTGGCGTCCGTGGGGCACTTGCAGACAGGTCCCTCTCCCTTCTCCTCGTCGCATCCTGAAGATGGGCAGGAGCAAGAGCAGCCGTCGGGATAGCGGATAGTGTCTGAGTGCGAAAGTTTGGAAGTCTTAAGCCCGGCCTTGAGCAGTAGCTGTTGCTGCTTCAGGTCCCGCGCAAGCTGCTGCTCGTCACGAACGATCTTGCTGGTCATAATCTGAAGAATCCGTCAGTAAAGAATCAAACATGGGATAGAAGATCTTGGACGATGCGAGCGAGTCAAGGTAGGGTGAGCCGATACGGAGAGCATACGATTGAACTGAGCCCTTGGGTTTCACTGTCGTTCCTCACCTTGTTCGCCTGGGCAAGGCCGAGAAGAGAGACACTGGAAGGAGAGGATCGCCATGACAGAGCCAGGATGCACACTGCTGCGATGCTCCCCGCAACCTGAGGTCACAGGACAGTGAGGAGAAGTGTGAGAAGGAGGCAAGATCTCACTGCAAGGGGAACCACTCGTCGCCTCTCGCTGAGAGACAGAGGAGGGAACGAACCGTCTGAAATCAAGTAAGATAACAAGTCAAGTCACAAGCTTAACCTGCAATCCTCGATGTCTCCTAATTTATGACTCTTGCACCGACAATCCTTTCCCTCACTTTCTTCCCAACTGGGCCTTTCCATCCTTGATCCCTTTTGAACCTCCTCCCCATGTTCAGTTTCACTCATCACTTCGTTTACATGTTCTTGCTCCTGCTCATGCTCGACTTCCTCTTCCTCCATCTTTTCTTCTTCGTCTTCGCCACCACCACCACCACCACCACCACCACCATCACCACCACCATCACCACCACCATCATCATCATCATCCATCATCATCATCATCATCATCATCATCATCATCATCATCATCATCATCATCATCATCATCATCATCATCATCATCATCATCATCATCATCATCATCATCATCATCATCATTACTTCAGCATCACTTCCACCATTCCCAGCATCCCTCCTCGCCCTCGCCCTCGCATCACTTACATTGCATGGCTCGCGCCTCTTCAGAATCGTATTCGCAATAAACAATTTATAGCATTCCATATATTTCCGATAAATGTTCCTTTTTGAGGTCCGTGGTTTTATTATTTTATTGATCGCCGCCGAGCCTCGAAGTCCGGCGGCGCGCCGCGCGGCGGCCCGGAGCCGCTGAGCCTGAGCGATCCGCTACTACCGCCTAGTAGGTTAACTTTGAGCCTAGTAGCCGCACCCGGTGACCACTGACATACTACTGGCAGTTAAGGGAAGGTATCAGTTAAGTTTGGGGGACAGCAGTCGGCAGGAATAGGTTTGGTTCTCTTTTCTCTTCTCGCCGTTTGGCCTGTGCGACAGTGTCAGGGTCAAGCCTCCTCGACTCTCCTGATTGTCCTCGTCCGGGGCACACGAGTCAAAAGCCTGTGTGGGCCAACAGTCCTCAGTACTTGAATAATAGCATGACATCACATCAAACACAACTTCTACTTCTATCCGATCCGTCTACTCATGCCTGAGAGCTGAAGACGATTCCCTCGGTATGTTGAGGCTGCGCTGGAACGACCTCCTCCTCGCTCTCATCCTTGTCAAACTCGGCGATCAAGTAGATGGGCATGTACATGAGCGCGATCGTCAACGGGGCAAGAAGAACTCCAAGAATTCCGAGCTTGAACGATGACTTCGCATGAGGAATGTTGGCCTGCTCTGCGAGGTCGTACATCCCCAGCTGTACGATCAGACTGGCCATTGCGACAAAAGTGAAGTAGAGGCTCTGCTTCGACAAACCAGCAAGACCAATGGCGAGGCCGTAGAGACCGACCAACAAGGCGAGAACGCCGTCTGCAATGAGGAACTTGTACTTGAAGCTCATGAAAGGAGGCTGAACAGGAGACATGTACGACATAGCCGCTCCTGAAGCAGCCGCGGACATGGAGGATGAAATGCTGGCAGAAATTTGACTCATGGATGTTGATGTTGATGTTGATGTTGATGTTGATGTTGATCCTGTTGTCGATCCCATCCCTGCTATTGGGGGGGATGACGAAGCTGCTGCAATCAAGCTTGAGGCGGCTGCAGCCGCTGCCGCATGGCCAGGATGCAGCTTCTGATGGTCGACGACACCCATGGCAACTTCGCAGCTTGCCTTGATGATAACCAGGAAGGAGTAGAAGACGATTCTCGGCTTGAAGTAGCTCCGCTCGTACAAAGCCGCTGCGCTGCCTGCATGGATCCTATACAACTGCAGCGAGAAGTAAAACTGACCACCCAGCACAGCGATGCCCATGGAGGCAGATCCGAACATTCCTAGCATGAACAAGCCCTTGCCAAGAGACGCGCTGGACTTGTCTGCGTAGAAGGCGTGGTATGCGATGGCCTGCGCGAGGAAGACAAACCATCCGAGGACTCCCTGGAGCACGAGAGTGATCAACGTGAACGTGGCGTTGCGGATGTTGAGAGAGAGGTGCAGGATCCCAGCAGTCAGCCCCAAGAAGCCCATTGCGCACAAGCAGACGCCGCATGCCAAGAGAACAGCGGGTGGAAACATGTAGCTTGACCCTCCCATCGCCCCCGTAGGAGTCGAATCTACCATGTTTGTCCTTGCTACTCCAAACACGATCAGCAAGGCAGAGAACAGAACGAGGTTGGCGGCAGCCTTGTATCCTGCCAGCGATGACGACCCGGCGGAATGGGAATGTACCTTCTTGCTTGTTTGCATCATGATGTCAAGATCTTCAGTTGATTGCACTCACGGTTTATACAAGTGGACGAAGGAGGACGAAGGGAGGGAGCGGGAAAAGGAGTGGAAGGCAGGAAGAGGAGGATATCTGAAGAACGCGGGCCGGGGGCAGCGGGCTGGTATCAAGGAGAAGAATAAGAGGGGGGCGTGAAGCTGGGGAGCGAGGAGGAGTCCTTATATGTGTAGCCACCGCAAGGAAACAAGGGGACGAGGCACGTTCACTGACTTCAACAAAGGGTGGAGGTACCAAACGAGACCTGCAGGGAGGGGGGTACGTGGCAGAGGGGAGGGGGGTACGGGCCCGGGCCAGGGGGTACAGAAGTCAGGGGGGGTGACCGGAGCTCAAGATAAGATCTAATCTTAACACCGTGACTCTCCGAGCCTGATAAGTTGAGTAAAGCCTCGGACCGTACGGTACAGCCTGCCCAGTGAGCTGTAGCGGCCGGGCGGACTCCGACGGAGTCGAACCCTTACACCAGGCCTGACCGTACCGTACAGTTTTACAGCGCGGCGCGGCGCGGCCCCCGCAATCATCGGCGGTGCGGCGGCTGGGTCGGGGCCGACTCTGAGGGGCTGAGTGAGTCACGCGGCTGGGCCGAGGGCCTGACTCAGTGAGTCACCGGTGCGACTGGCCGCGTACCGGGCCGTAGGCTGCGGCACTCCGACGTCGGAGTCCTGCGGCACTGCGCCGGGCCGCCGCCCGGGGCCGGGGCCTGACGGAGTCTGTGACTGGGTGAGAGCGGTTCGTGGCCGTTACTACAACCGTTATTTTGGGCAAATTTTGAAGTGGCGGGTTCACGCCATTCTCGACAGCATGAAAGTATCGAACAAGTCGAATGTGCAAGTAAGTACGTCGAGACAGGCTTGTTGCATGACCTGCCAGCCTCAGTTTGTCGTCGACGGATCTTGTGTTTTGATGAAAGGCAAGTGCAAGACTTTCCCATGTTCCAGGTAAGATCTTCCCAGTAATGCTATGAGTGTGACAAGATGCATGGCAGAGATGGATGGAGATGCGCATCTTGTGTGCAGAGCATGGAAGCAGCATACAAGCAAATAATCCAAGACAAGATTCTTGTGAGTCTTGCCTCAACTTTCCCTGAGAATTCATTAGAACATGTTCAGCATTACGACAGTGGAGCTTCTGAGATAGAAGAGAAGAATCTTCAGGTCAGCATTCATGGTGCAGTTTGCCATGAAATGATGCACAACAGCTTTGCGAGCTTCAGAAGGTGATTGAGATCGCCAACAGTCAGATACCGCTCTTGCAGGTCATGAATGTAATCAACCACAGCTTCCATCATTGTCGCTACAGGATCAAACCTTTGAGGCCACTCGGAGAGCTGACAACTACAAGTCTGAGATGGACAGCATGGCGATCAAAGTACTTGCTTTCTGACTTGTTGTGCAAGCGACGTGAATGTTCGTTACAGATCAAGGAGCTCGAGCAGAAGCTTGAGTTGGCACAGACAGATGATTGGACTGAAAGGCAATGAAATCCGCTATTCCTCCCTCTGCACTACTCCTGCTCCTCCTGCTCCTCCTGCTCCTCCTGCTCTTCCCCCCTTTTCTCATTTTCTCTTGGTATTCTGAGCTCCTTCCTCTCCTCTCATGCTCTTACAGATTGCAAGGAGCTGAAAGCAAGATCAGCGAACTAACAGAAGAGCTTACAAGCGTTCGGTATTACATTGTTTGTGATACCGGGGATTGAGATCGAGCTATTTGCAGACACGAGTTGATAAAGCAGAAGACAATAACAGCAGAGTCAAAGAAACAGCAGAAGGTGTCTTGTATCAGATTGAAGGTGAAAATGATTCCTGGACGTGTAGTTGGTCAGTCTCGATATCAACAACTACCGTCATTATGTGAAGAAGGCGCGGGAGAAACAGAGAGCAAACAAGTGCACATGTTGTACCTCAACACAGTCAACACTGAATCTACTGCAGTGAATCTCTTTTGAGGTTGAAAAGAACTCAAAACGTAAGATTTGTTTCTTGCAAGCCTTCTTCGCCTGTCCTCCTTCCTGTCTCGTTGTCTCACTTGCGACACAGGCGCTGGCATTAGAAGTGATTAGCAAGGAAACGTCATCGCTCGACTTGAGAAATAAGGTGATAGTGACGATCCTGGTGGTGGTGGTGGTGGTGTGTTGATCATGGAATAAGATGCAAAATGTTAAGATGATGATATTGCGATGATATTGAAAAAACATGATGTTTCTTTTCAACCCCCCCCTTGTCCTTGTCCTTGTCCTTGTCCTTGTCCTTGTCCTTGTACTTTGGTCGTCCTCGTCCTTGTTCTGTTCCTGATCCCTCACCATCGTCCGCGACAGGTCGAAGAGCTCAACAAGCTGCTCCTCGAAACGATCGAACAGCAACAGGGGCTTCAGAAGCACAACGAGTCGCTCTCAAACACAGTAGACCAGCTCTCAAAAGGTTTTATTTCCTCTTCATCTTCCTCTTCCTCTTCCGCTTCCTCGTTTTCTCCCTACCTCTGGTTCCTCGTTCACTTCCTCACCTCTCTCGAACTGAGCCACATCATTATCTTTCAGCGTTGGAGTTGGCGGTTGACACGGATCAGGACATGAAGCAAGCGCGAGAGCAGCTGCTGGTGAGCTCAACCCCAATACATGCTTGCTCTCAGTCTTCCTGGTTCCAACCTTGTCTCTGCTCTTGCTCCCCCTCCCTTTTATCCTTATGACGGACTGTTCGAACAGGTTGAGAATGAGCAGCTCAAAGAAGAGATCATGCAGGTTTGAACTGCTCCTCCTCTCCTTCGCGACCCTCCTGTCATGCTCCTCGTCCCCCCGCCTCCTTCGCTCTTTCCCGCTCCTTTCCTGTGGCTCATCAATGTTTCAGATGAAAACTCGCTTGAGCTTGCGCAACAATGAGAAACAACTGTTCAAGGTAGCCGAAGGGGGGATGGCGTGGAGGACGATGGGGGAGAGAAAGGCCGGAGGAAAGACATGAAGGGAGTAGATGGAGAATAGAAGTGCGAGGAGAAAGGGGAAACGTAGAGGGCGAGGGCAAGGGAGAGGAGGAGGGAGATGGTGAAGGCAGGGAGAGGCAATGACGATCGAGCAGGCTAACCTATCGCGGGAGCGGATGCTGAGGAAGGGGCTACAGGAGGAGCAGGAGCGAACATCCTCCCAGAGGAGGCTGGTGGACCACAAAGCGTGAAATAGAAGCTTGAGTAGTTGAGGACAGCCGAGGAAGAGCTGGGTTGTTGGTGTAGGGTAGCTTTGGGGAAATGGGGAGGGATGGAGGTGTGGGGAGGGGAACGATGATGACGATGCAGACGTGAAGGATGACGATGACGATGATGATGATGATGATGATGATGATGATGAGGAGGAGGAGGAGGAGGAGAGCAGTTCACGTGTAGGAGATCATTCTACGCATGTTCACATGTAGATTGTAAGCAACTTCATGCATTCAATCTCTCACGCCCGTTGCCTTCCTCTCTCTACCCGCCATTCAATTGTGTGCCGCCAACCTTATCTTGTCGTGGGTTTTCGCTTGGCCGTGCCTGGAAGTTCGCAGATATTGAACTTCGAGAAACTTCTCGTCTACAGAAACTGAAAAAGAGACAGTCGGACAGTCAAGAGATTATCAGAGAAAAGCAGTTGAGCAAGAAGAGATGGAAGAATGTTGGGGGGCCTTCACTCCCTCCCTTCCTTACCTCTCAGGTAGCCATGGTGTAGCGAGTCTGCATACTCGAACTCCTTGGGCTTCGGCATCACGATCGGCGAGTTCAAGTAGCCCCCGTTGCCGGTCACTAGATAGACAGGAGCCGCTGCTGACTTGTTAGGCTTCATGGGAAGAAGAGGAGTCCTGCTCCTGCTCCTAATCCTGGATGATGATGATGATGATGATGATGATGATGATGATGAGGCCTCAGAAGGACGAAGATTCAGGACGGGGAGCGAGAAAGGGAAAAAATGAGGAGGAAGTGCAAGAAAGGAGGAAGGAGTTAGGGGGGTGGTAGGGCAACAAGCAGGGAGCGTAGAGGAGAGCAAGTTTACCGTATCCCCCGTCTCCCGTTTTCTGACATTCTCCATGGTAAATGGGGCAAGTGCGCTGATAGCTGTGGTGATGACCAGCAAGAACAACGTCAACCTGATACAATCATGGTGAACAGGACGTGCAAATCTCTACTCCTCGTCCTCGTCCTCGTCCTCGTCCTCTTCTTCGTCCTAGCATCAACCCCCCTCCCCTCCGTCCAGACACATCCTATTTCCATCCTCCACCCACACTTCGTCCTACCTTGTACAGCATGAGCAAAGGTTCGAACGCTTCCCTCAGCTCTTGCGCCACCTGCTGATCATCCGCCGCTCCTGGCAAGATACCGGTGAAGTACTGCAGCAGGAGACATCAGCCTCCTCCTCTTCCCCCCCGCCCCGCCCCCCCCCCAGCTCCCCTCCTCCTCCTCCTCTTCCTCCTCCTCCTCGAGGCTTCACCATCGGCCGATGGCCAACAACCATCACCCATGGCGTCACTGAGCGATCGACCAGCCGCAGATCCTCTTCAAGCCACTGAACAGTCAAGAGTCAACCATCGAACATCCTCGTGCTTCCTCCCTCCGTTCCTCCTCCTTGTCTTCCTCATCATCATCCTCGTCCTTGCCTTGTCCTCGTCCTCGTCCATGTGCTTCTCAACTCCCCCCGGCTCTCTGCCGATCGTCTTGTCGCTGATTTACCTCTCTGTTACTCCTCTCCTCCTCCTCTTTCCCCTGCTTCTTGCGCTCTCTTCCCCTCTCCTGCTCATCGTTTCCTCCTCCCATCACCTTTTTCTGCTGCTCTAGCGAATGCTCGGTGGAGATCACGGCAACATGCAGAAGAGGATGCGAGAAGCTGTACCAGGGCGAGTCGGAAGAGGCCGAGGAGGAGAAGGCTGAGGGGGAGAAGGATCAGAAGCCTCCAAGTTTTGCATCCTAGACCTGAGAATGATGGAAGGGTTGGTGAAGGGGCCGGCATGACAAATCTCCTGTTGTAAGCAACTCCACATTCTCCTCCTGAGTCGAAACTTCCTCTCACGCTTCCTGTACAAGTTTCAATCACATGATTGTGAGCTTGCCGCCTCCTCTCTGTGATCTCCGTCCTCCTCACTTCCCTCTCTCTCCTTGCTAATCTTTCCACCTCACTCACTGCTCTTCCCATGACGCTTCTCTTTCTCACCGCTGTTGGGCCAATCTCTTTCGTGGTTACCAATAGCAGTCATGTACGGGACTTGAGTGGCGATTTCCTCAATCTTCCAAACCTTTCATGTCAAGTATGTTGTTCTCACAGAAACACAAGCTCTTTCCACCTGATCCATGAAGTTTTCCCACTCTGACTCAAACCCCTTCGCGTACGAGATGTCTCCGACTGTCAGCGTCAGTGAGAAGGAGGTTGCTTGAGCTTGCAAGACAGACCGTGCAGGACGAAGGAAATATCTGAGATTTCCCTCTCAACACTCGCAGTTGTCGCCTTGCTTGCCTTAGAAGCATGTTACATTCCACTTGCACTCCTCTTTTGCTTCTCACAGGACAATCGCAATGCTGGAAAGTGTGATCGTTACTGTGTTGACCAACATCTCCGTAGACAACAAAAGAAACTGGAAGATTGTGTGACTGCACTTCAAGATGACAACGAATTCTTTACATGCTTGTCTGTGAGGAAATGTTCTTCCTATTGATATGCATCTGATTTTGCTCCAACCATCGTCTGAAACTGTTTTATCACCACTTTTCACATCTTTTGATGGTAACAACCGTCGCTCCCGTATCTATAGCAGAGGTCTTTGCTCCCTTGAGTAGCTTTCATCATCGCTCGATGTCTAATGCCAGGATCACGAAACCCAACGCCGCTTGCCCATCCTCCGCACATCTCCTCAGAGGAGTACAAGAGAGCAGAAGATGCCATGCTGATAGCCGTGATGTTGCTTGTGCTTGGGCCAAACTGTACCATCTGATTCGTGAAATTACGACCTGCACAATCATTTTCAATACCTCCTCCATAGAAAATTCATGATCACCGCCACTACAATCATCAACTCCATTATCAGCATCTTGTCAGTCATGACTACATACATCACCAAGATAATACCGCTCTCCGCCATCTGACCTCCATCAAATAACATGATCATTATATCTATCTCCTCCTCCATCTCCAACATTGTCAACTTTATTGCATGTATAATGTTGGTAACAATCAACACCTGTTGTCCAAGAAAGCAGCAGCTCTCCAGGGTTCGACGTGTAGGCAAGATGTGCTTGTGTAGGCTGATTCTTCCTTTCTAGAGACACGACATTGCTCTTCCCAACCAACTGCGCCTTGTCGCCTATCGCCTTGAACAAGTAGAAGACCTGAGATGCTTTCGCTCAACGACATCATCACATGGTTTGAAGTCAGTCACGCACAATGTCCTCTCGCATGTTCAACATGTCGAATTTGTGCTCTCCTGCCGATCAATCAGCTAATTTTTTGATTTGTCCCTTCGAACAGCATCGACAGACCTCGGACGCTGTTGACAACAAATTGAAACTTTATGGGAGATGTGCGCGTGATATCATCGCTTACAAGGTAAGCCCCCACCCAGTAAGGAGACCAGTGCCTGCATGCTTGTCATTCTCTTACTCAGTATGCTCTATCTCACCAGGGTAAGCTCCTCCATCGGACAGTGATGGTTTGTTTACCCCCTTGCATGATAAGCGAATCTACTGACAGTGATACGCACGACGAAGGGCATTTAGGGATGATATGGCTTGGTTCGAACAGCTGGAATGGTCGAGCATACTCCAAGAAAGAAAGACAAGACCATTGAGGCTGGATCGGCATGCCTGGATCAATCATACTCGAATTTTCTGACACCAGTGTCTCAAATCCCCACAGCTTACTTTCTTCATGCTTGGCTTCGTTCGACATAATGTGCATCTTATTTCGCGTTACAAAGGGGGGAAAGGCTTCCAGGTGAGCAGCAGGAGGCACATGTACGATTGTAGGGGTATGACGATGAGGAAATTGATGGTGAGAAGAATCTTCCGAATGCTGAACCACTGCAGTCTCTACATAAATTGGTGCCGCAAAAGAAACTCCTCCTCCTCCTCCACCTCCTCCTCCTATCAGCAACGCAACAACAGCTGTCCACCGCAACACAAACTTCATTGTCGAAGTGGTTGGCCAACATGTGCGGTTTCACAACTCCCTGGTAAAGTTTCGAAGTTGTCATTAAAAGTTTCTGAAATTTCAGGCAACTTACAATAATACACAACCATGATGCATTCAAATTTTCATGGAGCAGTTTAAACTTCAATTTTACAATATAAACTATGTTTACTACAGGATTCTATTCAGTTCCCGAAAAAAATCTGATATGAAATCATCTCTTTTCGAGATTGATGTCTTCCCACTACCGGTACATTTGCCCACGAGATCTGGACCAGGGGTGGAAAATGGTCATTGATCAAACCCGCATTTTACTGCATTATTGTTTATCAACCACCGTCACTTCGGTTCACCGAGACCACCCCTCCTTTTCTAGACATTCTTTTGCTATTTCCACCACCCCTCCCCTCCACTCAACCCAGTGGTTCATTTTTGAGAATTGAAGGCCGAAGCACAGATTCATGTCGACGGGAGGTGCAGGGGTAGGGGCATCCTGAGGCTAGGGTTTCAGAGTATAGCAAAATTATATATGAAGACAATTGATAAATATCTCTGGTATTGGGCTCTGATTTTGAATAGCACCCAGGTAATGCATATACACCAGGAAGGGCGATACAAAGGTAAAGCCAGTTGGTGTACTACATCGGGATAGGGGTACTAAAAGATGGGGTAGAGGTACTCGACTACCCAAGACTAGATCAGTGAAAATATGTGTCAAGGTGGGGTGAGTAAATTTTAGAGATGTCGAAGGTAGGGTAGGGTAGGGTGCTGCTGGTGGAGGAGGACTTCGGACGGGGGCTGCGGTGTGGCGCATGGGTATGAGGAGAGAAGGGAGCTAGCGAGGTAGATATGCGCTCCCATGCTGCCTTCAGATGCCTGGAAGAACCAGCAGAGCTCGATCTTTCAGAGAGGATGCAAGCAAATGGTTGAGGAGATTGGCGCTGCTGCCTCTGGTTCGGGCAAGGAGCCGAGGCGCTTGGAGTGAAGTAGAATTCAGAAGCATGATAGTACAAGCCCGTAGATCTTCTTGACTTCTAGGCGGTGAAGTAATTTTCGAGCTACTACAAAATATCTCTTGTGTATCAATCTGAATGCAGGAAATCTAGGGTGTGTGTTGTGTCGTGCTATGTCGTGCTGTGTTGTGCTGTATGGTAAGGTGTGGTATGGTACTGTGTGGTTTTGTATTGCATATTATTTTTGAGTATGGTATTGTTGAGGTAGCTGTGTAGGTGCGAAAGTTTCTTTGATGCTGAGTACGTAATTCCTTGAACTGAAATGCGTTGATCGATTGTTGGTTTCCAGGCGATCTCGGTGCCGAGCCATGTGGTCCTTGTGATAGTGATCGGCCCTTGAAGGATGAGCAACGGAGAAAACTCCTTCGGCAGCATGCGGGATTGGACTATCATCGTCAACCCTGCTAGCTCAGGAGGCAAGACAAAGAGCACCTGGCCATCTACTTTCGAGCAGTTGTGTGCCATAGCTGCCCAAATGGGCTATGAGCATCCCACAGAAGCGCGTGTGCTCGAGTCCATGGGCATGGGTAGCGCGACTGATCTGACGAGGAAGGTGTTGAGAGAGGGAGCTAAGGTGGTGGTAGCAGTGGGAGGAGACGGAACCTTGTCGGAAGTGATGGAAGGTTTCTTCGAGCCAGACACAGATGAGATGATCAATGAAGAGGCCGTGATTGGGTACCTTCAGTCGGGGACCGGGTCGGACTTTCGCAGGACTCTGGGATGGCAAAACCAAGATCTTCAGGAATGGATCGTCAGGTTGCTTCGAAGACAAACCAAAAAGTTGGACATTTGCGGCAGCTGCTTCACTGGAACCGATGGGACGATCAAAAAGAGGCATTTCATCAACATGTCCAGTTGTGGGGTGAGCGCGTCAATAGCGAAACTTGCAAACGAGAAATACAAAATGTTTGGGCCGAACTTGACATATATCATGGTGACGCCTGCGATTGCTTGGAATAATCTTCGTTTGATCTAGTCTGCACAGGCCTCGTTCGGTGGATTCATGCAATTCTCACCTTTCAAAGTTCGAATCAAGGTCGATGACAAAGACTGGATTGAGGTGTTTTATTATATCCTTCTCTTCTTCTCTGACCTATTTCTGCTTGAAAGCATGAAGAGGTAACCTTCATCACGATCTGCAACGGGAAATTTTTTGGTGGAGGCATGAAAATTTGTCCACCCGCGGACCCCTTCGATGGATACATCCATTTGGTCGTCTACAAAGGTTTCTCCCTTGCTCAAACACGCTTCTTATCTGCCTCTTTCCTTTTTCTATTTGCTTTTCTGCCTCTGCGAATGTGTCTCTGCTTCTTTTCCTTCTGTCTCAGAACACTCAATGTCCTTGTATGGCTATCTGGACTCATACCCTGTGGCAGGCGTTGATTTCTTAACCTTTCTTATTTCTCTTCCCAAGCTACTCGGTGGGGAAGGGATACTAGACAGCAACAGCATTTTCGTCGAGAAGGTCAAGACCTGCGACATCCAGGTGGAAGAGAAAGACAAGGGGAAAGTGAACATGGAGCTTGACGGGGAGTCGATTGCTGTCCTGCCGGCTCAATTTCACATTCTCCCGGAACGGATGCACATGATCATGTGAGATAATTGTGGGTTCGTTCTGCTATTCTTTCATGTTGCTTGCTGGCTAGCCATGCAGAGATCCAGGACTCCCTCAATCTAAACCCAAAGATTGTTAGACATGTGAAGCTGCAAAGATATTTGCAACCTCCTTGCATGGCACCTGGGAAAAGAAGGAGTTAGATAAAATAAAGACTAGAAGTCAAGTAATCTTTGCCATAGCGAGAATAAGAAAGGGAGGAGGAGATGAAGAGGAAAGGAGGTGATGAAAAGCGAAGGAAGCGGGGTGAGGAGATCTGTTCAACACCTTGTCAGTCAGCAGCTGTCGAAGTTGAGATTGCTCAGCAGCCTGCCAGCCAACGGTCAGGAGAGAGTCAAACTGCAGAATTTCATTCCTCCATCAGTAGCCTTCGCTTGTGATGCAGAAGAGAGAGGCCAAATTTCACCAGGAATGCTCTTCCCCCATCCGCTGTTTGCCGTAGAAATCCATCCAAGAAGCGATGCCTGTCCAGGAGAGGCAACGAAAGGGCAAGAATTTCAAGGAACTACGAAAGTGAAGGGGAAGAGAAAGGGGAGAAAGGGTGGAAGGCTGGAGGAGGAAAGAAAAGGGTAGAAGGCTAGGTCTGGGAACAGGCGGGAGTAACAGAGAGGAAGGTGGAGGGAAGCTGAGAATGGAAGGGGCAGAGAATGGGAACATGCAAGGTTGACGTACGCCTCGCCTTACCTGCCCTGCCACGGCAAAATATCGAAGAAGATAGTTTCAAACCATGCCTTAACGATATCCCTGCGAGTTTATTATTATGAGGATGCGATGGGACAGCGAGACCTGAGGTTGATTTCTTTTGACTGTAGGTGGTTGATAAGAGCCTGATCCTCTTCTATCGCTGCCCTGCGGACCGACGTCATGCTTTGTTTTTGACTTTCCGGTGCCTTGCCGGAGAAAGTTTTCCACATCTCCTTCGAGGCTGTAGATTTTGTTGTCCTTGGGCATCGCGTCGTTGATACGATCCAGGTCTCCACCATTCCACCATCCCTTTACGCCAACCTCTGTTTGCTGTCGTGCTCCTGTGACGTCGTTTGCGCTCCTCCAGTAGCCCGAAATGTAGTGGTCGGTGCTCTGGAGCACTGCTATGACTCGGGCGGTTGTTGCCATGGGAAGAAATATGGAGAGGAAGTGAGCCACCTGCTCATACCTTCAGAACATGTTCCTACTGGCCCATTGCAGAATTTACTTTGCATAACCCGGCATGCAGAGGATCGAACGCGACGAATTCCAAGAGCGTCACGAAGCGAGTCTGATCAGCATTTCAGTGGCAAGGCACCAGATCATTGTCGAGACCTGAAAGTCTCTCGTGGTAAAGAACTTGCTGGCAACTCGCTGCAGTTCTGATCGCGGAGCAGCTGGCTGGACGTCTGCATGCTTGGCATGAGATGAAGGAGAAGGACTGCTTCACAGCATCATTCCTGGTAACCCTCGGATCTTGTCTGCACTGCAGCTGGCCGGCCATTCCTGCGTCCTGAAAAACGAGGGCATCCTTGAAAGGCTTGGGATTTCTCCTGTATTGGTGCAGAGATGTGCTGCTTGCTCCAACTTCAACGGTGTCAGGACAGCTTCTCCCTCACACGACGCCTCTGCTCCTCACCTCGAAATCAGGCAGCAAATGCCCATCTGTAAAGCGAGAAAGGTGTTGGACCTCTTTGCTTCGCCAAAACTTCTTGAGCAACATGATCGGTCCATATTCATCCTCCTCTTCATCGGATTCTACGATTTAAATGAGACACAAGCACTAGAGAGGGGGCATTTCAACACCTTCATCCTCCTCAACTGTTGGCACACCCTCTGCAGATACCTGGAAGCTGTACAGCTCTTCTCGGAGAGCTTGCTGCAGTGATCCATTAGACATCAAGAATTATTTGTCATGTTTCTTGCTTACTTTTGTCCTTGGGTCGTTTGTCATCTTCACAGGAGCTCCAGTGTCGGACAACACCTCCATGTCATCAGGTACTCTTGACTTCATCTCCTCTACCATCTTCACGATCTCTTCATACGGTGCAGTATCATCGCATGTCTGGTTGATTTCTCTGTCGCCTGATCCTCCTCGCAGGACGATGTTGACATTCGACGGCTTCCAAGCATCGCAGAACAAACTCGTCGTCACGACAGTGAGGTGAAGCAGGACGAGGACAAGGAGCAGCCATATTCGGCTGCTAGTGGAACAAGTTACCCCGTCTTTATGTCTCATTGCCTGCAAAATCCATCGTCAAGTTCTTAGGTGCCATCATTGCATGTCTGCTTCTCCTCACTACCTCACAATTCACCATGTGGAAATCCGTCCACTCGATCAATGAGGTTGTTGTGCCCAGTCTTACACACCCACATGTTCAATCTGCCAGCATGCGGTAATCTGTCTTTCTCTCTCGATCTCCTTGCTCGTCCTCTTCATCCTCCTCCTCCTCCTCCTCTCTGTCTTGTGGCCTGACTGTGGCACACTGGCGGGAGCGAAGACAACCTGGAAGACAACAAGTTGCCAATATGAGATGAGTGGGGATGAGGGTTATGTACTGAAGGATAACGCAAATGGTCATCGGTGACTGGGTAGGGTTATTTTTCGATGTAAAATTTAAAATACTTCCAATCAAAGTTTCAATAATGATAAAAGCTTTGTCATAAGTATACAAAGATGGATTTTTTTGGTGGGTGGGGTGAGGCGAATGAGGGGTTCCGGACAGGGGGGTCCAGAGGATTAGGGGGAAGAGACATGCGGGAAGAGTCGTGATAGCGGCATGGAGATGGAGGGAGAAGGTGGAGGAAGAAGCGGAGGAGAGGGTTGAAAATATGATGACATAAAGCAAGATGAGGAAAGACGAGCAAGAATTTGAGGATGGAGCAGAGGAGACTAGGAATCTGAACGACCATGAGTAGGTAGTTGCGATGTCGGTCAACATGGAACGCAGGGGCGCGATTTTGCGATTTGTTTATGAATTGAGGAAGATTTAGCGAAGAAGAGAGATCATGAGGTGGTGTGAGTGGCGAAGGTCAACTTTAGGATTCTTGATTTTGTATCGCGATTGCATCATGAGACTAGATGGGCAGAAGAACAGTAAGGGTTAAACTCGCATCATGGGTTAACAAATGTCTTCATAACACCGGTTCACACGTGCATTCCATTTGCAAGTCATGCCCTGACATGAGATCTTGAAGGCTCCATCCCATTATTCTTGTTGTCCCAAGACTATCAAGCTGCTGGCCGTTGGCAAGGAGACCCTCTGAAGGCGGTCTGTGGCTTCTATGAGGGCAGCAAGAGCCATGAGAGTCAGCTCCTCCTTCGCGCTAGCGTTGACTCTCTTGCTGGTACTTTCTCCAGCAACTGTCGCCTCAAGAGTTCTGCTGCAGGAAGGAGAGGAGGCGACTGGAGAGGCGGCGCCGGCAGCTGAAGGAGAAGCCACGGCGACAGAATCAGAGGAGAGCCAAGGAGCGGGAGATGTCTGTCTTACTGCAGACTTTCCTCTGGAGTTTCGATCGCCTGTGCAGTTCAATGTGAAGGATGGGTTCGGGCCCTTCAAGGATGGCTCCCTCGACCTCCAGTGTGACTGTGCTGGCTACACCTGCAAGTGTAGCGGGACAGAGGAGAATTGCGATGCCTACTCGGTGCTATGGTTCTACGGCCTTGCCTACTCGCATCAGTTCGGGAGTTTCTTCTACGACATGCCCGAGTACGAGAGGAAGTATCACCTCGAGTCGATGATCTTCTGGACTGTGCTGGGAACCATCCTCTTCTGGCTGGGGCTGCTTACCATCATCTACATGGAGCTCAAGGCTGTTTCCATCACCAGAGAGCGAGACGAGCGACGGAGACTCGTGCAGCTGCGAGCGATGGAGAGGTCGAGCAAGATCGTGGACCTGGAGAAGAAAGAGATGCTCGTCATGTCTCCTCGTGCTTACATCACAATCGCTGGCGCTATCTTGCTCTTTGTTGGCCTCTTCTTTCAGCTCATTCCCTTCTGCCACCTCCTACGTGAGCTGGGCATTCCCGTCGCCTTCCACGGCTTCTGCATTCTTTTCGTATTTGTGAATGCGCTTGTGCTGTCGGCGTCGATAGTCCTCCTGGTCTTGGGGGTCTTGTGGTCTTGCACACGAGGGTTTGCTGCTCTAGTGTTGATTGTTGTCGCCATTGCCGGCGACCTGATGATCTTTGGGGGGATCGCCTACTGCCTTGTTTGGATGATTGTTGCAGGAGCCGTCCTCTACCTCTACTTCTCTTTCCTCCCCGAGCTCTACAAGGACTACAGGGACCTAAGTGACCCCAATAACGGTCGATACCCAGTGTGGCTCCAAGACGCTGGGAACTTTGAGGTATTTGTTGTTTCTTCTGTTGACTGCCTCCTCCCTTGCTCTCTCAGCCTCCCATTGTCCCTGCTCCTCTTTGCCTCATTCTTGCTTTCTTCCCTCGTCTCTGTTCGTTCTGCATCCTGTAGCGGACATGCACCGTTCCCTGCCTCCATCAAGACTTCCACCATTCCTCTCAAATCCCCGAGTGTTGATGATTGCAATGCTTTGATTGACATGTTCTTGTAGCTGGAAACTGATCTCGAAAAGATCACGTCAAGCTTTCATGCTGCGGGCAAAGACTTTGTGGACGACATCTCTAACAACCCTGTGCGCCTTGTCGTGTTCTCCGAGGTCTTGCTGACGTTGCTGCAGGTTGGTAGTGGCTTGAAGGACGCGGGCGCAAAGGCACAGGAGGCCGTCAACAAGATGTCAGGGCAGGAGAAGGCGTGAAAGCAACTTTGGCGCTTATTATGTTTCATATGGGATAATACAATCGTCATCATATCTGTACACTCGCACCTTCCCCTGTCTCATCCTTCTCTTCCTCCTCTCTCTCTCTTCGCTCTCCTCTCAGTCCCTTGCCCTCGCTGCTCATGTTCTGCCTCATGTGCCTATCGCCTGCCTGCATTTCCGGGTCCTGCCTCGACCCCAACTGTATCCTTGTGCGATCCTTTCTGCCCCCTTCCCCCCTTTCCCCCTTGCCACCGCCAAACCTCTAATCCCCTCCCTCCCCTCCCTCCCTCCCTCGCGCCGCTTTCCTCGGTATCCCTTCGTTGCCTTCTTCTGGCCCTCTGCTCCATGTGTATGTCGAGGGGATGGAGTAAGACGAGGATCAAGCACGCGGGAGCATGGCTGCGCATGTTGATTGGCGCCATGTTGATTGGGTCCGTGTGCATGAACGAGGGGAGAGGGGAGCATGCAGAACAAGTAGAGAAGTCGATGAGGTCGGTTTGAGTGTTTGCCTTCCTGTCTCATGCTTCATGTAGAGGCAAAGGCGGACAAGATGACTCCCTCCTCATCGATCCCATTCGCTATCGACTTCAACAGCTCGAGAGCTTCCGAGAGGTTCTGCAAGCACCAGCCACCGGAACCTCTTCTCCTCCTTCTTCTGCTCCTCTCAACGACCTCCGGGACATGGTCAGAGCCAACAACTTGGCAGGGCACATTCATGCGGCGCTCAGGTGAGGTGGAAGAGCAGGGGCAGGGGCAGGGGCAGGAGCATGGGAAGGAGCAGGGGCGTTTGGGACGGGGAGCGAGTAAGAGGTAGGTCTCTTCTCACAAGTTGCAGTGCTATGGAAGCGCTGATGTCGCTGTATCCGGCTGCGGTCACGGACGAGGATCTCTATCAGGCAGCTCTCATGTGCAAGACCTGCGGCAGACACGAGCGTGTGAGTTGCTTGTGCATCTCAGGGTCCTCGTGACCGCGAGCAGGCGGTAGAGCTGCTGGTGGTTTTCCTGGACCGAACGGGTTGGCGTTCTACATCATCCATCTCCTTCCTTGGAACCCTCCTGCACGAGATGAACAGGTTCTCCTCCTCCTCCTCCTCTTCTACTTCCTCCATCACTTCCCCCTCCTCGTCTTCTGGTATCTTGTGCAATGGTTCTCGTCATCTTTCTCTACCAACTCCTGCTGTCTCTCCTGCTGTCTCTCCTGCTTTCTCTTCTGCTGTCTCTCCTGCTGTCTCTCCTGCTTTCTCTTCTGCTTTCTCTTCTGCTTTCTCTTCTGCTGTCTCTTCTGCTGCCTCTTCTGCTGTTTCCTGCTTAAACTTCATGAAGGCAAGAGGATTCCATCCGATGCTTCAAACTTGCTGTGCGGCTTCGAAGCAGCGACCCTCCCGTCCACACCCTTAGCATGCTCGTTTCTACCTTGGCAAGACGAAATCAGGAGAGTCAAGTTCTTCTCTCCTGCTTCATTCCTTCCTCCTCACCTTGATCTTCCTGATCCCCCTGCCATCCCTGCCCTCTGTCTTCTCCTTGCCTCCTCGCCTCATGTTATCATCCTTGTTCTTCGATGCCCTTCGTGTCCAGTGACTCCTTCGTTGCCAGACTGAGGATGCGATGAAATATTACAAGAGGATGATAGGACACGTTCCTGCTGCAAGTGCGGGTCAGACGTGCACATCGAGTTTCTTCTGATTGTAAGCACGCAGGAGGAAGAAGCGGCTCATTGATGAGATTTAGCGATCATGGAGCCTTCTCCTTCGCTTCCACCTCCTCCCTGTTGGGTCGACACATTCCAGCTGCTGACAGCTACCAGATACAGCGAAGGATCCAAGATCTGCAGGTACAGTCCTTGTCCTTGTCCTTGTCCTCGTCCTCGTCCTCGTCCTCGTCCTCGTCCTCGTCCTCGTCCTCGTCCTCGTCCTCGTCCTCGTCCTCGTCCTCGTCCTCGTCCTCGTCCTCGTCCTCGTCCTCGTCCTCGTCCTCGTCCTCGTCCTCGTCCTCGTCTTCGTCCTCCAACGTGCTTGCCGCCTTTGTTCACCTCCATTGCTTCTCATTCCCATCCATTCGCTGGTTCTGTTTTGAAATTCGGTTTCCCTTTGCGATCTTCTCTTCTCTCCTGCTTCTTCTCTTTTCAGCTCATTCAATGATGTTTTTGTAGTTTCCAAGTGGTGGGCAAAGGGCTTGTCAAGGTCGCAAGCTCTTGCTCCACAGTCTCGGAGATAGGAGGCAAGGGTGGGGAATGGGCAGCATGCTGCATACGATGATAGGTGAGGGTCTGTGGTTTATGAAAGAGACCTAGCGAGCTCTGACGAGACCTTACAAGTCGCCTTGAGCGAAGCCTTTCGATTGAATCGCACGCTGGTCCTTCCTGATGACGATCAGTTCGTTTTCTGTCTTCTTGTCTTTCTCTCTTTGCTCCCTTCGCTTGAAACAACTTGCCTGCTCTCATTTGCACACCTTCCTCTTGCATCGTCAAGAACGTTTATCCTCATCGTCAAGGAAGTTGATCCTCCCTCCATCCCCTCCATCCCCTCGCTCCCCTCGCTCTCTCTTCTCTCTGAATATTTTGTTCAATTAGGTGGTGGTACGCGCATCCTGATTGTCGACCGAGAGGGTTTTCGTGTTATTTCGAAGAGATCTCGACGTGTCGCGAGGTCAAGCTCTTCTTGTGTTTCAGTCTCCGCGTCTCTCGCTGAGAAGATATCGTAGAGAGACAGCACAGACATCTTGCCATCCTCCTTCCTCTCGGGTCGTACACAGCAGCACCTGGTTTGCCTCCTCTTGATTGATTCCACTGTGTTACATTTTCTCCTTTTTGCTTCCCTTGCAACTTGTCGTCCCTCTTCTCTTCTCTCTTCACCCTGTCGACGCATCTGCTGTCAAGCACTTCTCGTCCGGGCGGTTGAGAGCTCGAGCAGGATGTCTCTATGCTGTGGATGCCGCAGGAGTATCGGGAGCATGGGTTGCTCTGGTGGAGGTCGCAGCTGCTTCATGCGGGTTGGTCAGGACAGGGAGGGGAAGACAGGAACTGACGCTCATCAAGTTTGGCGTCCGCGACGACACGTGCGAGAGTACGTGGAAGGTCAGAAGAAGAAGCTGTCTTGGCCAGGTGAAAGAAGTGAAACCAACTGAAATCTTATCGCCATGGCAGATGAAGAGTCGGTCTGTGCGATTCATGTTAGGAGAGGCGACAAGGGGGGCGGAGGAAGAGCAGGACGACTTGTCGTGGACATGCCAGTCTACATCGAGGAGATGACAGACATGAGCACAAGATTCTCTGTTTGCGTTGCTTGTCATACATCTTCTTTTGACAATGCCGGGCAGATCTCGAACGTTTACATCGCCGGCGATGATGCTGAGACAGTTGCTACCATGGTGGCGGCAGCGAAAGACAGGTGCGTTCACTTGATACAGGCAGACCCAAACCTCCGATGGTGAATGAGCAGCTGAGGGCAGGGGGCTTAGGGCCATGTTCGACAGTGACGAGGCGCGGACATGCACGGACAACTCTGCCATGATGCTTCTCTCGCACAAGGTGAGCTAATGGAGATACATAACACGATAGACTGTTGGCAGATGGCGAGCCTGATGTCGCACCTTGTGCTGCAGGTCAACATCACCCGCTATGCTCTTGACGCCATTACCAACACGGAGCTGCTTGCTTCTGCTGACCTCTTCATCGGTAGCGCTCTCGCTGCTCTCATTGCCATCGGCTCTGACTTCAAGTTTCGGCCAGGAACTTTCGGCTCGCACTTGTCACGTCTGGCCTACGAGCTGGCGTTTGCTCGTCGAGGCGGGTTCGCTCATCCGCCCGTCACGTTAGATGTTCTCTGGTTCGTCAACCCGTGAACTTCCGAAGTCACCGTCTGCCCCGGCCGCCCAGCTGGCAGCCGGCAGTGAGTACTATAGGTAACTAGTAAGCCAGTGCGCACCGTGAGTGTTCGGCCCGCCCGGCGTACTACTTGATGATACTATGAGATGATAGGGGGGGGGCGGTGACTTTCAGTGCCGGGCCCCGGGGCCAGCAGCGGGCCAGGCCGGGCTCAGTGGGCCGCCAGACTCGCCCTGGGCTGGGCCAGGCTCGGGCCCGGATCCATACCGTACGCGACATCTAAGCATCGCTCAGAGTTTTCAAACATAGGGTGTCTACAACCAAAGTTTGTGATGTTTGTTTAAATATTAATACTGAATTTCAAAGTTTATGGTCTCAATTGACACACATTTGAAAGTAAGAAGATTAGGTTGTGTACGTTCGGTATTTCTGATCCAACGCCGGCAATCCCTCTCATACCGGCGGCCATGCTGCGCAAGCTGACAATCTTCTGCGGTGAGTGAAGGAGATGTCGGCAGACCCAAGGTCTTGACCATGGGCAGATCAGAGTCAGCTATCAAAGCTGATCATCTGTGAAATGCGCTTCTCTCTGTCCTGCTTTGCTTCGCGCTTCTCTTGACTTGGCATCGCAGGAATCGCCCTCGCATCCGCCTTCTCTCCTGCTCCCCTGGCTCCTGGCCTCCGCTCGGCAAGATATCAGCGCGCAGTCACCCGCCATGCTGTCAGCCCTAAGATGGTGTGGGGAGACAAGGACTACTTGATCGCTCCCTCCATCCTGTCTGCCGACTTTGCCAAGCTCGGCCAGGAGGTCGACAACGTCCTGGCTGCAGGAGCAGACGTTGTGCATTTCGACGTCATGGACAACCACTACGTTCCCAACCTGACCATTGGTCCCATGGTCTGCAAGGTAGCTCCTGCTATCGTGATGCCTTGGCGTGCTGAGATGAATGTAGGCTCTTCGTAACCATGGTGTGACTGCACCCATCGACGTCCACTTGATGGTTCAGCCCGTGGATCGCATCATCGGCGACTTTATCGATGCTGGTGAGCATGGCAAGGCTAGAATGATCCGATCTAAGTTGTTTCAGGTGCCTCCTACATCACCTTCCACCCGGAGGCCTCAAACCACATCGATCGCACTCTCGCCATGATCCGTGACGGAGGATGCAAGGCTGGCTTGGTTCTCAACCCAGCTACCTCCCTCGACTACTGCAAGTATGTCATGGACAAGATCGACATCATTCTCCTCATGTCTGTCAACCCTGGATTTGGAGGACAGAAGGTCAATGTTCTTGGAACTGAACGCCGTTGCTTACCATTACATAGTTCATCCCCTCGGTGCTGGAGAAGGCCAAGGAGGCTCGCAAGTTGATCGATGCTTCTGTGAGAGTAGAAGATGATTGAGTCTTATCTCACTGGTGGGATGGCAGGGATATGACATCCGCCTTGAGATCGATGGTGGCGTTACCGTCGACAACATCAAGCAAGTTGCTGAGGCAAGTCTGGTTTATCTGCTTTCTCTCTCTTCTCTCTTCTCTCCTTCGAACTTTTCTGTGGCTCCTCTGAGTATTAGCTGCTTGCTTGGCTGATTCTGATGCAGTGCGGTGTCGACATGTTTGTTGCTGGAAGCGCTATCCTCAAGGAGCCTCGCACTCAGGTCCTGTGCAGCACGCGCAGACAGTCTTCTCTTACCTGACTGGCAGGATGCATACAAGACTACCATCGACAAGATGGTAAGTCTTTCGATCTTATCTTTTCTGTCTTGTGATTCCTATATACTCGCAGCGCCAGCAGCTTGCGTCCGCCAAGGTTGCCAAGTAAATAGGACAGGAGAGAAGGATGTTAAAGTTATTGTTAGAGCATTCAGTGAAATGCGGCCCCTGACTCTCGATTGTTGACTTTGAATTGCCTCCGTGCAAGCGATGCGTCCCGGCATAAGCGGCAGCCTCGGAATGTTTCTCAACATGGACCCGGAAGCCTATGATCATCACTTTGAACTGCACTGCCGCAGCGCACTGCACACTGGCCAGGCTGCCGGAAGGTCCGTGGGCATCGTTATGCACTCCGAGGCTCAGTATTTTGAAGTTCTCACCGTACCACATCACGGCAGTTAGTCACTGAGTCCGCCGGCCGGCGGCGGTCGGACCGTACAGCACCCTCAGCACTGGGTCATGATGCCCGGCCGCTCTGCGGCACTTTCTGAGCTGTCACGGTGGCTGACTCGGATCAGTGAGTCAGGCCGGGCAGCCTATTGCTTCCGGACCGGGCTCGCCTCAGAGCCCAAACGGGGCCGGGCCCGGGGCGCGCGGGCGCGGCCCGGACCGAACTGGGGCTGCGAGTGGGACGAGGGTCAGTTTTCCTGCGGCCCCCAGTTGGTCACGGGATGCAGGAACGCGTTAGGGGAGGAGAGTGGCAAGGAACAGCAGCAGCCGCTTCGTCTAGTGCTTATGGGAAGACGTTTCACATACAGACATGCACAATGAAGCGACTGGTTGCAACATCCCTGGCCTTGCTCCTTTACTCTAGTCCGATCGTTTGTTTCACTCCCTTGAATGCTCCCACAAGGATTCGCTTTCGCGCTGCGACACTGAATGTTCATCATAGCTTAGCGATGAAACGACACGTACCTCGATCGTCCCGTGGACAAGACAGTGAACCGGAAAGCATTGAAGTAGACCATGATGGCATTCCGAAGATTGGGCGCTTGAAAAATGTTGTCAGGCAGACAAGAGGCGACATAGTGGGTACGAGGGGGTCAGTCAAAGTGCAAGGAAAGGGATGGGACAACATTCTCCCTAAACCTCCGACGATTCGAGTAGCAGGAGGAACAGCAAAAGGAAGAAAATTGAACAGACCTGAAGTTTATCTACGGCCGATGATGGGCAAGGTCAAGGAGGCGCTCTTTTCCATCTTGACAGAGTTTGACGTCCTGCGAGATGACGCGATTGCGCTCGACACCTTTGCTGGGTAGACTCAGACAAGCTTTTGTTCACGGTCGTGAGTATCCTATTGGCAGGTGTGGCAGCGTTGGTATAGAGGCGTTGAGCCGAGGAGTCGGTAAGTGGATATCACCTATTACCACGATGTGCTGATTGCACTTTTTTGCAGGCAAGGCGGTGTTTGTAGATTACAGCAAGGAAGCTTGCAACACAATCAGAGGGAATCTCGAAGTTTGCGAGTTTGAGGACAGAGGTATTTGAACTCTTTCTTCAGTTGATGGAAATCAATGCTTTTTGTGCACCAGGGATGGTTGTTTGTTCAAAAGCTGAGGCAATCTACGACGACCCCGTCCAAGTTTTGGCAAAGGTACAATCTGCATGTTAAATGCTTGAATTTACAAAGTTTAAAAGATGGGAGGGAAGGGATTCGATCTTTTGACGATGACACCGCCGTACGAGGAGGTAACAAAGTCGTGATGCCATTAGCGCCTGAATTCACAAATATGGCTAGGTCGATTATGGTGATCTGCTCGGAAGGATAACCAAGGTCAGAGATTTTGATCATATCAAGGAAACCAAGCGAATTCATGGTCACTAACAATGGTGCAGTCGGAGCATTTGATGAATGATGGATGCATCGTTGTTGTCGAGTATCCCATTGAGCTTGGAAGCTTACCACCCGTAGGTCTCAAATCGAATGTCAATCTGCCTAAACTTGCTATCAGGTGGTAGGAAATCGATTGGTTGGCATGAGGAATCGCAAGTACGGGAGGACTATGCTTGCTATCTACGCTTGCAACCCTGTGCGTTCGTTGATTGATGAGAATGCATGCCACCTCTCCTCACTTCACACAGGGGTCCAATATGGAGCCTCGGCCACAAGAGTTCGGCACACTGCGCCTAGACTACCTTTAGAAGCTGTTGGTGAAATGGCCGGAAATCTATTTTGCAGTACAACGTTGAGCTCTTGCCAAGTTTTCGCTCTTTCCCCATATCTCCATGAAACATGTTTACCCCTGCTTTTCTGTTTGAGACAATTTATGATTCGCATCGAAATTACTCGGAGATTGCTGCCACGCTCAAGATTTACAAGGAGTTGTCAAGGCCAGGGCCAGGGAAGCTACGTCCCGGCAAGTTCTGCAAAAGCTATCAACTTTTGCATCTCAGGAATAAAGTTGAATCCTACCCATGCAGAGACGTTGTCCCAGTTCTGCATGCCCATGGACGGGCGAATGTGATCGAGGTTGTCCTGCATCAGCGAGTGAGACCAACAACGAGATCCGGCTCCCCGCCCCGATACCAAGTGCTGCCAGGTGGGGCTCCAGAGCTCGTTGAATCCCATAGGATACGAGCTGTCACCGTAGGCCGGGTCGGTGGTGAAGTTGTAGGTGACATTGTCATCCCATGAGCCCGGAGTCTCGAAGGGAGCAGAAGCTAGCATAGTTCCTGGAAGAATCTTGAAGAGCATAATTCTGCAAGACCAAATAAATGTCAAAAGTGGCAATACATCGATCGATTTCGATGCAGGAAACACGCAATGCAGAAAAACTTTCCGAGAGTTGCAACGAAACAAAAACTTGCTCACAAATAAATGAAAGAAATGCTTTTTTCCCATTCTACTCCACAGATCACCTCCCGAGAGTTTGGATATAATTGGGACAGGTTCAATCCGAGGCAGACAATTAACAGATGAAGCAGACGACAAAATCTCTTTCAAGAACCAGGAAAAATGACAACTCAATTCTTCCAGAAAGCAAAATCCTCCAGGAAATATCACCCACAAGAGCTGCGTGATATCAACGAGTATTGTAGGGAAACAGAGAAACACAAAAAAAACCAAACATGCAAAGCAACAGGTGGACGAGGTTATGAAAGCAAGCAAAAATAATATCATTAGAACGTGGTTCGCAACAGCTGCGTTCAGCAATGTTATCACATAACATGTTTTGGCCATACCCTCTTGTGTTGTTATGATTTGGACGGTGGGTTGTCGAGTTTCGATACCCTATCCTTGAGAAGGGGTACTCACTGAATTCGATACCATGCACCTATTCTAATTTTTCATAGTATACCATATAATGAAAGGGATAAGTGTAATGCTCACTCAAACCCAATTTGCTTTATCAAGGGTGGAGGGTGGGGGTGGGAGATCAAACGGAGGGTAGGGAACCCCATGGCTCTTCGCGCTGTACAACGAAGGGTTGAATGGGTAGTTACAAGACGGTTACAATACTCAACATCTAATTAGAGTACCCGGCGCTGCCTGGTTATTACCACTAGGTGATCATGGCACAGCAAGCCGGCCCGCCTCAAGTTGGACATAATAGTACCAAAAGGTACGAGTACAAAAACCAGGTTTTCCTTCGAACAGCCTGCACCACCCACCCCCAGACATTAGACATGGGGTGACTTCACAACTTCGTGTTGCGAGATGTGATTTATATGCTCACCACCTCTGATATTTACTGGGCAAGGTAATAAGTCCAGATGAGCAGGCTGCCATGTTTCGACTTTCGCGTTTCCGATAAAGCCCCCACCCCCTGCCACATGTAGGAGTTGTATGTTGTCAGCAGACGCTTTCAGGAGGGTGGTATCTCCAGGAGATTTGATGGGTGTAGGTAGTCAACCGCGTCAGCTCGCTCATTCCGAAGGTGAAGGTGACCGTGTACAAGGTTATAGTTGTGACCTTTGTTTTTAAGAAATTACTTTATAACCCACCCTTTTAAACCGCCGCGAGTTCATTTCCGTCCGATCCGATGTCATGGAGCTTTCGCGAGTGTTGAGAAATGATTTGAAGGTGAATATCTCAATTCTGCCTACCCCCACCCCCTTAATTCCAGTGATATTCTGCTACAGTTGAAATTACAACTGAAAGATCAAACGGCAACTTCAAGTCCATTTTATATCTTTTTACAAATATTTTTTTTGAAATCTTTTAAATTTATTTGTAAGTTTTAGGCACCCATATGTAGTAAAGTAGGTACCAACCTATCACAACTAAAGTGGGGTGGTAGGGGTACCTTCTTGGAAGGGGACTGATCCTGGAGATGATTGAATTCAGGTCGGGACGGGGGTATATCTACCGTTCAGACGGGGTTAAATCCACCAGATGCTCGGATGTAGAGATATGAGGGGTAGGGGTAGGTAGTCAGTACAGAGAAGGATTTTTTTTTTTGATGCCTGCTCATCGGAATACCCGACAGAGGTTCTTGGCACCTGGTCTCTCAAAGCTCACATGGTTGAATGCCCTCCCCTGACGAGCTCTCCCTCTCGCTCCCTCCTTCTCTGTCTTTTGCATCTCACCTCTCGTCTCGCCTTGTTTGCCATCCTCTGCAGATCTTTCTCCAGCTCTCACTGCCTCATTTTGTTTGTCGCATTTCGTAATATTCAGATCTTGCCTAGATTTTCGTATGTCTAACCAATTCATTTACAATGCTATGCATCATCTTTCCTCCATCTCTACTGACTCCTTGCTACTGCATGTTTAGGGTTTTGCACTCCATTTATCCACCACAAGTTCGCTCGCGATGAGATGCTTGTTTTGGATCCAGGGCCTGATTCGTTCTTTCCAGGGATCAGCCGAAATGGAAACCAAGTCTCTGGAGATGTCAGATGCTGCTGCACGTTCGAGATCAAACATTACGATTGAAACTGCTCGTGCAATATATGCGCAAAGGCACTCGAGTAAGAGTTCTCCGAAGTCTAGCTCGGAGCTTGCAGCACTGTATCATGTGAGCTCGAAAGCAGTGAGGGACATTTGGGTATTTTGCTTTGTCAGTTATGCTGTAATCTTATCGTGCTATCACAGAATAGACGAACCTGGGCGCATGCCACCGCGTGTCTCTGGACAGATTCAGAGAAGGACAGATATGTCCGGGACAAGATGGGAGAGTCTTTTTGTCGTTCCAGTTCTTCGTGCAACATCGAGATTCCTGCCTGTGCTCTGAAACGTCCAGGCCGCCCAGTCGGGTCCAAGGATTCTAAGCCGCGTAAAAAACGTGCAACAGAGTCAGATGAAGGAGTTGAATATGGAAATTCACAAGAGGAGGCTATGTCAGACGAGGGGTGGGATGCCCTCCCTTCATCCAAGTGGTCAAAGATATCATTGACATGGTTAACGATGTCCTCTTTGTTCGAAGAAGCTCTAGATCATGTGCAAGGGGAGCAGGGTTATGTCCAGAGCAGTTAAAGCAAGCCCACTACTGCGTGTTTTGTGCAGTCAAATTCTTGATGTGTCTTTCAATTTTCAAGTGCCAGGTCTCGAGAGTTTGAAATTTTTCGTTTTGTTGTAGAGTAGATAAATACAAAGCTATCTCACTAATAAAGTGTCTGATTGATACTTTGTAGTGATCGATATATGACATTTGAGCATCTCATCTTCACAGTCTTGGCCAAAATATTCAACAGCTCACGCTTTGCTGTGGTCAACTCCATCATTGAAGTCACCGTGACTGGAGAATACCTGTGAGACATCCGTGTAGTTCGTTTCGATAAAGTTTTTGCTTTAGATCCTGCATGTGGCAAGGGAGTCTTCAACAATTAACTCAGCTGGGTAATTTTGATGAAGCACCTGTTGCTTTGCTGGCCTGACAGCAAGTCATTTCTCACTAGTGACGCAGCGCAGCAAACCTGAGAAAGCTTCTCCAAGAGTCTCTCACGTTCAGCATTCCACGCTTGCCTTTCATTCGCCCTCTCTGTCTCCATACTTGCAATCGCTCTGAAAGGAAATTCGTCACGATGAGCATATTAGAAGTAGAAACTATACAGCGAGGTATCCTCGTACTTCGTTTTCATGTCTGCCAGCGATTGTTTGTAAAGCTCTGCCTTTTCAATAAACTCTTGGTTTTTTCTCTCCTAAGTTGTTCATCAGTCACCCTCTCTTCATTTTGATTTAGAGATTACTGAGAAGCTTTCTGAAGCCGTGAGTTTGGAAAGCAGTGCTTTGATTTCTTCTTCTCGCTTTCGGAGACAGGTACAGTTTTCTTGTAAGGATTTCTCCAATCTAGCGTTCGTTTCCTGCAGCAAAGAAACTTCCAAGGTCCTTGCCTGGAGATTCTGGCTGCAAACGAACAGCTTGACGACGCTGTCTGCTCTCTCGTCACGAAGGATTTTGCGAGATGCCAAAGTAAAGCAAAGCTCTTGCAGGACAAGTTCGATTCTTCTTACAAATTCGTCGATGAGTCGATAGAATCTTTCATATTCAAAGATATTTTCTCTCAACAACGATTTTTCCATTTTGATACGATTCAAGTCTTCATGTGCTCCTCTCATTCGAAACGAAATCTTCCGACAGGATTCGTCGTAATCAGCAGCTTGCCTTCTAGTTTGTTTAAGTTCCTTCTCAAGCATGTTGTTGGTGTCAAGCATCTGATTTAGTCTCAAGCTCAATGCAGCGTTTTGTTTTTGGCTTGTATCAAGTTGCTGTCTTATTGCGAATAGCTCAGCATTGGATTTCTCGTATACCTTCATCATGTTTGAGTTACCCGCTTCAACGTTGTTCAGACGAGACACCAAGAGGGCATCAGCCGCTTTTCTTTCCGAAGACATCAGCTCATTCATTCTGTTCATCTGGTCCATCATCGACTTGTGGATGTTCTCTTGCGATGTTGACATCTGCCGTTTCAAGTCTTCGCTTTGAAGTGAAACAGCAGCAAAAGCCTGAACCCCAGCAATCATCCTCCACGCAATCCCAGTGAGCGCATCTCTTCCGCTCGTGATATCTGATTTGAGCAGTGACATATTGTTCTTTATCATCGACGACTGTTTCTTGATAGCGAGAGACTGGCGTCTGATCTCCGACACATTTCTGCTCTCCTTTCGTGCAGCTTGCTCAATCACCCTCTTTAACGTTTGCCTTTGCAAAAGGTGCAGGGCAAGGTTATCCTCGACCGATCTGGAAACACCTGCGAGGATAGTTCCTAGCTTTTGCAGTCGTTCTTCAAGTACTATCATTTCATCTCGAGCAGCCCGTTCAGATGCTTCAAACAAAGACACCATCTCCTGCTGTTTCTCAATATGAGCTTGTTTTAAGCTTTCTGTAACTTCCTCAATTTGCATTGCTTTCTCCAGCTTAAATTGTTCTACCTCATGAGCATTTGAGTCAAGCTGTTTGAGCAAGGTCGCTTCCCGGATGCTATATAAAGACTGTTCTTGCAGCAGCTGATGATTTTTAGAGGAGATGTCGGATACGATGCAATCAAAACAGCGCAGTAGCGTTTCGACCAGGGTGTCAACAATTGGATCCAGGAGGAGAAGTAAGGCTTTGCTTTGATCATCTATACAGCTTTCAACGCCCTGCACCCACTGCCCTGTCAAACGTTCCTGCAAAATGTTGAATGAAAAATCGTCTTTGCTCCAAGATTGAAGCTTGTCCACGATAAACGCAAGCTTTGAATTTACCATAGTCTCAAACGAGCTTTGCAATTTCATGTTTAGAGCATCATTTAAACGCGTGTTTATTCTCTCAAACGAGAGGAGCAGATGCTTGGTAACGTCCAAGTACCCATCTTCAAAATCTTTCAATTCGTGCAAGATGATTTTAAGCTCTTCAGTGCAGTGATACAATTTCGCTTGTAATTTTGTTGAGTTGTCTCGCAATTCATCTATTTCAATTGTGCTCTGTAGACAGATCTTATTATGCGATTGTTCAAGCACTCTCTTGGATTCCTCTTGAGTTGCTATCATCAAGTTGATTTCTTCCTCCAGCAGCTTTACTTTCGACGTTTCTTCCTGCAGACAAGAATACAGCTCTTCAATATTTTTTCTGAAACTATTGTTTTGTTCTCGCAGCCTATTGGTTTCTCTGGTTGCCCCTGCATTCGTGTCGAGCAGTTGAGCTTGCAAATCACTTATTGTGGTTACAGCATCCTCAAGCTGCCTTGTCAATTCCACAACACTTTCATGATGTCTGCTGCTTTGCTGGTCAAGCTGCAGCTTCAATTCAGCAAGTTCCTTGCTGTTTTCCTCTAGCTCGTCTTTCAGGTTACGGATAACAATGACGTGCTCTTCGACGGTCTGTAAGAGTTTTACGTTTTCCACTTTCATCAAAGACTGCATTGCCATGGCTTTGGAATATTTATCCTGTAAGATCACGGTTTCCTGATTTTCATTGGAGAGCTGAGCAATAGTTTGCTGCATGATGCTGACATTGCTCCTTGCCATGTCAATTTCACGATGCGATGCTTTCACTTGTATTTCTGCAGTTTCCAGCCTTACATGCAAATCTTCGATTGTCTGATGCTTCGCTTGAATTTCAGCAGAGAGATCGAAACATTCCTCTTGTAGCTGTTTGATTCGATTTGTCTGTGCCTTAAGCATCGAATTAGCAACTTTCATCTTTTCTCTTTCATCTGCCAGTGCGTTTTCTGTTTGATTGAGTCGAATGAGCAGCACCTCCAGATTTGTCTGCAAGGATCAGATCATCAGTCGATGTCAGCTATCCTCATGTTGCAAAGTACTTACCTCATCTATCGCCTGTTGTTGAGAGTGATTTTTCATCGTATTCAAAGCATTTGCTCGATCATTGGAACTTGGCGACCAAAACACAGATATCTCGTTCTCATCCATATGATTTCCTACGATGTAACTTGTCTGCGGTTGTTTTTGCCGCGTTGGTCGACCAAATGAGGAATCGAAAATGATTGCTTGTTTTGTATAGCTGAGTGTTTTCTCGGAAAACTTGGATTCATTTCTAGGTGACTCTATTTCCTTGGTGAGTTCATCTTCATCTCCCGACCTGTCAAGATCTAATGACGCGATCTCAACACCTCGAATCCAACACTCTTTCAAGATATTCATCGACTTCTCAGTCTCGCTCTCCCTACTTTCTGCCATTCATTCAAGCATTGAATGAAACTTGAAAAGGGGTCAAGTCATAGAGTAAAACTTGAAAAGGATTTTTTTTTTTTTTTTTAGCAATAGGTTTTAGCCCGGAGTTTAGGGTTTAGGGTTTAGGGTTTAGGGTTTAGGGTTTAGGGTTTAGGGTTTAGGGTTTAGGAGCCGGCCCTTAGTAAGAGCATGCTGCCCTGCGGCGCGTAGGGAGAGCGCAAGGGGACCGGTGGAAGCTGCGAGCAAGAGGTTCGTATAGTTCAAACAGCTTTCTAAGCATGGTACTACAGTATGATGAGAGCGTTCGCAACCTGCTGTATCGGAGATCATGCCCATACACTCAGGGTGAGCGCTCCGGAGGCCACGTCGAGGAGGCCGCCGACCTCGTCGAGAAGGTGAAGAACTTCACCAAGCGTTATCCGAATAGTCGGACAGCTTATGCTTGCAGAGCTGAGCCGGGGGGGATGCACTCCCGACGCTATCGCTGAAGCCATCCGCTCGACATGTCCGGGCAGGCGAGACGCGACCTGTTTGAAGACTCTCTGAGCGAATGGAGCTCAGAGTCGAGAGCATGGTTTATTCAACAGATGGAGGAGGCCAAGAAGCAGAATGTCGAGACATACATCGGCACCGAAGGCACCGAGGGGACCTTCTCCATGACTCTCCTAGGGATTTCCTCGATGTTTGTTCGACAAGAAGAAAAGTTGAAATCGAAGCTTATGGAGCTGGATCTCATGGTAGACTCAGTCGATGGAGTCGACAAGGCCATCATGTGGAAAGCACCTTACAGACCTGAGATAGCACGAGCAGACGACATCTCAGTCACCGTCTCCTTCCTTCGGAATGAAGCAGCCATGGAGCTATGGGAAGGCAGGAGAGAATACTGCATAGACGGCAGATCGTTCAGAGCCACAGAGGTGAGCATGACAAGTTGCACATGACCGGTCGTTCAAACTTCGAGCCAAGCGAGGACCTTGGGGCAAGGGAGGGAGCCTTGCCGAGCTATCACAGCTCTTAGCCCTTGGAGGAATGTCGACGGCCGAGATCGCTCAGATCTATCGATTTCAGCTGCTCTCGCAATCTCTTGCAGCCGCAGAGGTACAACCGCTTGCGGGCATGCTCGTGCAGGGTCCTGGGCAGAGAGGTCGCAAGGGGCCGAGCCCGAAGACGTATGTTGCTGTTGCCGGGGCAAGTACGGGAACTCTCCAGCAAAAAGAGCTGGAGTGGGTGCTGAGCTCGCCTGCGACGGCAAGTTGCGAGCAGACCTTGGCCTCGTTCAGAGAGAGCGAGGCGATGGAGGGGGTGCACCTGACTCTCATCAGCGACGACGCCAAGCTCAGAGAGACGTTTGCAGTCGAGCTCACAGCCGACACCATCGTTCCTAGGGGAAAGATCGCTAAGCAAAGGAGGGCACTTCGCGAGAGAGATCATGCGGGGCGCAGCAGCTTCAGAGTACAGATCAAGTCGAGGTCAAGCATGAGCACAGGCCGCTTCTCGAGGAAGGAGATGGAAGCGCTGTGCGGAGGAGGTAACACATCGATCACGAGAGTCAAGCGAGCCATGTTGGAGTTAGCAAGAAGGATAGGCGTGACGCCGCCGGTCAGCGTCGAGGTCGAGGAGGATCGTGACACGCTCAGCTGGGATGGGAGCCTGATAGCTCTCTCCCTGGCGACCAAGGCAGAGCGGCTCGACGCTTGATGGAAGACATGCCCTTCTACTTGGAAGGGATCCTGGAAGTCAAGCTCGAAGCGGTGGGGTTCAAGCTCAACGGGCCTCAGCATGAGGAGGAGAGGAGCCTGAGCAGCGAGGAGCAAGCCAGCGAGGAGCGAGCAGCGAGGAGCAGGCTGGAGCCCCAAGGGCAGCAGGCTGGAGCTCAGCGACATCGACAGGATCACCATGGAAGCAGCGTCACCGCCAGGGCCAGTCGATCAACAGGTCTTGCTCGACCTCTCGACGATGCTCTTGGAGACATCAGAGGAGGAGCTGCTAGCTGGCAAGCCGATCTCTCTGGAGCTAGACAAGAGTGTTGGCAAGCTGCATGACACCTTCTGCTCGCCGGGCAACGTGGAGTTCATGACGCTCGGAGCTTGGGCAGCCACGCCGACGCTGGGATCGAAGCGAAACATGTTGAAAGAAAAGCTCAGAGCGTACCTCGGCGAGCAGCGCTGGACACGGCCGCGACGGGTGCAAGGGAATAAGGCAGCGAGGAGGGGCAGCGCCTTCTCTCCAAGGGCAGCAGCGACTGACTCTGCGCTCGAGCAGGAGGCTGAGAGCGATGACATCGAGAGTCGATCTGTAAGCCTCTTGTTTCTTGCGATCAGTAAATTTGCGGAGCACCATGGGTTGAGCTGCACGGGCAAGGTCGACAAGCAAGACCGACTGCGGCTGATGATGAGGGAGGAAGTCGACATGGAGGCTGAGGAGGGCGAAGGCATGGAGGAGGAGGCCGGTGCAGGCCCCTCGCGCGCTTGAGGCTCGAGTCAAGGCTTAGAGGTGGACAAGAGGCGGAGCGGAGCTGTGGGCCCCATGGGGGGAAGGAGGAAGAAATAAATGAGGTGGACATGGGGCAAGCAACGAAGGTAAGGG